CATTCCAATTTAAATAATATCGAATTTCTAGAACGCGACTCTAAAATTATGCAATGTACGATATATTGACACTATTAATAAATACATTCATCCTCGATAATTTATCAGATTCCTCCAAGGACGAGCGAAAATTGTGCATTCATTTCACACAAATTATAACGAAATATTTTCTCTTTCTATATCGTAGCTTAAAGACTCTTTCATTCTCTTTATATAAAACTATAATATTATATGTGATTGTTTATCTTATATTCTTATTTTTAAAAGAATATCTATATCTTAAAAGAGTATCTATCGTACAGAGATATAATAGAAAAGACATCGTAATCTATCATATCTTTCATCACGTTCACCGATAATGGTTCGATACGATGGAATTAGGACCGTGCTCGGATAAGCCGCGCGCAAACAATAGTGCACTTCCGCAAATTACGTTTTATTCGAGCGCATTCTCGCCGCCGCGGGCTGACGTTGCAACTGAAGTTGAAATGAAAACCGGTCAAGAGCATCGCGTTCGCGAGAGCCTTCGGTTTAATCCTTCGGCTATTTGCAATTTTTTTTTTCTTAAAGGACTTTCTAGGGGGATTTAATAATTCTCAAGAACAAATAAACATTCCTATAATGGGTTATTGAAAAACGAAAGAGAATTTCGCTGATGATCTCTAATAATCAGGTCATAGAAATGCAAAACAGCAGCAAATGCGAAGCATTAGTTTTTATCTACTTTATGATAAAGATATATATTTGCTTCTTTAATTAATATGTATATAAAGTACATATTTAATAAAATGTATTACGATAAAACATGTATAACATGTTTTATCGTAATAAAATCGTAGCAAAAGTATATTTATTTAATGACCTAAAAAAATCGAATGACAAGTTCTCGCGTTTAACTATATTTAGATTACTTTCTTTATTATTACTCATGTTCATTAATTGATTAAAAATCAAGACGATTTCTCTTTTTAAGATTCTCTTAACTTAAACATGAAATTTTACGATCTAACCATAAGTTATTAATTAATAACTATAAGTTCATATTATGTACATGATATTGAGAAAAAAAGTTTCGTACGAATTGCAATAGCATTTAGATAACCGTGATATATAACATTATATTCTCGCGTGAATTTTCTTAAATCTCTCAAATCGCAGTTATAGCACTCGATAATTATACGTCGTTTGGCTCGAAGGTGAGAGCAAAGTCTAATTATGATAACTGCTTTTTACAAGGTTCAATCTTATCATACAATATATTGACAATGTTCAAATATCATCGATTCTCTGTGGGATAACGTAAAAAGATGCTAATAATTTGGTTCTAAGCATGTTCTCGTTATCGGTTATGTATTTTTATCATTACAATGTCATGCACTAAAATCAGATGCAATCAAATGCACAGATCTACACTTTGCGCGCATACGATGCAAGTATGAAGCAATCATCAGTCTTAAATTTGTTGTTATTATCTAAAAGTGACCGATTAATATTTACTTTTAAGCTAATTACTTTAAGCTAATTTCTTATCAGGCAAATATAGTTAATTCTCGTAAACTCTTTGGTTATCTTTTTTACAAAACGGAGAATACAAATTATATTATATCATTATATTATATTTTATTAAATTAAATCAGATTATATACATCAAATTAAATAGAATTTTTCTAAAGTTATAAATTTAAAAAAATATAAACTATATATATGTATGTTTATATAATTTTTTAAATTTATATTATGATTAAAAATATATATATATATAAATTATATGATTTGACCGTCATTTAATTTGCTTTCTCCTTTTTGCGATTAAAATTCATATTATATGAAAGGAAAAATAAAATATTGCTGTTAATTATATCAAATTTAGCTGACTTATAACTTCGTTTTTCAAAAATGAGATCTTGTCGATTGCCAAGGCGTAAAATGACCGAGACGTGTGCATTTCCATACCTATCTCATCTTCGAGAAGCCGACCTCAATTCAAATAAGTATCCGAGATCACTCTCGCCGGATACATTAATTTGTCAAGAAAAATAACACATGTATAGAAAAATACCGTACGATAACGGGACATTCGAGGATAGCGCGAGGATCGACGTCGTTACGTTCGTTCACGCGGTCGTGGGAGAAGAGCAAACGTCTCACCGTTGGTCAGCAGTCATAATCGACATGCTCGCGTAATTTCACTCCTGACACGGCCTCGTTAGCATGCTCTCGTTTGCGAGGACCTCGGCTCGGACGCGCGGCTCTCGGTGATGCCGGGGAATCCGCGTACTCTCCCTAACAATGTTTGTTATAGCAGACGTACGTCGAGGAATGTGCGCATTATATCATTACGCACTATTACCCATTACATACCTCGTTACATCGTATATATCGTATATTATCCTAGATACGCCGGAGGAAAAAGTGAGGATCCTCTCCTTCCTCATCTCGCTCCCACATTATGTCTCTCTCTCTCTCTCTCTCGCTCCGTATGCCACTGATGAGACCCTCGGACCATTACCATGCACGTCCGCGCGGCGCATGCATCTCGCGCGCGCGAGCGCGCACACGCGTTCGTAACATCGCCGTACGTGCACATCGTAATACTTGGCGCGGGCTATCTAATTGTATAGTAAATAACCTTCGTAAATTACGCATATAATGCTTAATGCCGCGCGCGCGCGCGCGTCATGCGGCCGCGCATCGCATTGTGCTGCGCGCCTCTATCGCGTTATGACATTCAATTGCGACGTGTCAAGCAATCACGGCCGCCTTACAGACTCCGACACTTTATGGCGCGCGGTGATATTGCACGTGGAGAAGCGTGGTCACCCGCCGAGAAGGATAAAGGGAGAGGAAGAAAAATGAAAAAAAAAAAAGAAGAAGAAGGGAAAGAGTCTCGAGGCGACGCGTCGCCGTCGTCCCGATAAATTGAGTTTATTCGCGCGAGAATAACTACGAATTAATGAACGTTATCGTCGCGATGGCGACGTCGATAGCCCATAATTGTTTTATATTTATATCGTGCCGGGACGCGCGCATCGTGCTTTGACCGGCGACGGATAATTAACGAGAGAGATAAAACTGCCGGGGATCTTTTTTTCGCTGTGCGCTAATAGCCGCTCTGTTCCGAGTTCCCCATCCGGTAAAGGGGGAAAAAATTCGCGTTTTTATTTATCTCGTAATTAGCGGTAACGTAAACCTGCACGTTTGATTGATACTTCCGGCGCGCGTGTAATTTATTTATGAGACTGCAAATATATAAAACGTTAAGCGAGGTGAAAGAATCCACCTCGATATAAGATAAAAAACAATTACGGTACACTTAACTATTTAATTATTAATTTGATTTAGAATTCACAGAAGAAAATCCAACCTTTTAAATAGTATAAGCAAAATTACCAATGTAATAAGTTATATATTAAATTATACGAGAGAGAGATGCTTTATTTACGTCACGGAAATCACTCTTCTTTTCTCTCTTTTTAAAAATTGCAAACATTTTTTTTAGTACAATTCAAGTTTCGCGAGATAGGGATTCGCCACGCGACGTATTCATTTACCTTGGATCCGACCTCCATGACACACACAATGAGCAGAGAAGACAATGTCTGGTCGGCCGACGTACTTTCTCTATAACCGGATAATCGCTGAACAATGTCATAACGGGCTTTATATCACATGCGATTGCGTAAGTGTACGAAACCTTCTCAGTAACATTGACTTTTTCAAGTTTAATTGGCGCTCGTGCACCGATTACTAATTACCGCTACCGTGGTGAACGTGACACACATTCGATTTTAGCCTCGATGCAGTTGATTTGCACGCTGTATTCGCACCTCAAGTTCGCTTATTCAAAAGTACGTCGAGAGAGTAAAAAAAAAATATATATATATATATATATATATATATATTCCTAATTTAATAAATACCTATTAAATCCGTTATAGAGCGCATACACAAAACTCATTGTCAGAAAATTATACTGGATATATAATAAAACATGTGTATATTCTATTATATATTATAATATACCCAGTAACATTATATGTATTTTTTTAAATATTAAATATGTATATATATATATATATATATGTATATATGTAAATGTTAAAAAATCCTATGTAATTTTTGCTTCACATAAAAAATATATTTTTTTCATGTATTAATTATCCACATGTATTAATTATCCACATGAAAATATTTTAATAAAAAATTTTTTTAGATATATATTTTTTATATATAATTTTGTTAATAAATAATTAATACATTAATATATTTTTATATGTAGAATAAAATGTATTAAATTAGATAAATATTTATATGAAATAAGTGATGAAAAATCGACTTTTTATTTTGCGAACGCGATAAATGTTTATCTTATGTTATTAAATGTATGTAAATAAAAATTAGAATTTAAAATTTTAAAATAAATTATTAAAAAAAATATATTAAAATTGTTTTATATAATAGAACATTCTCTATACACTGAAGCCATTGTATACATTGCTCTAATTTTCACGAAGAAGCGCGAAATTATTATTCTACCGTAGTAACTGCATTTTCCAAATTTAAATAGTTCTTAGCAAATGTTGCTTTCACTTTACACGATTATAAAAAGTCGATTCAAAGCTCGAAGCATTGAATATACGCACCTGTATGTAAAATTGAATTAATTCTTAAAAAACCTAGTATACGTAATTGAGTTTACAATTTAAAATTCTCTATTATAAACATTAATTTGTTATCATTATTTCACCGCACGTAACATTATTTTTACGTGTCCATCAAAATAAATCTATAACAATTTAAAAAAAAATACAACCGCCTACGTGACTCCGAAAGCGCAGGTTTGCCACCATTACATTATGATATATGCGTATATTCGATACGCGAGCTTGGTGTTGCGATTACAATCGCGTCAAAAAAAAAACACGATTATACATTATATATTGCGCGTATATGCGCAAAGTTGTACAGTGTTAAGGATTACACGTAAAAGAGCTACGTACTTACTTGGCGATGCTGGATTATCCGATGTCGGCGTCGGTGGTTGTCGACGGTGGTGGATGACGGTCGTCGTGAGGCACGGCCGCTTGTAAAGGTTAATTTTTGTGCTTCTTCTCCACTGGTAACAACTCCACACTGTGGCACTCTCTCTACCTCTCGTCCTCTCTCTGTTATCGTGTACGTGTATCTCGCGAGTACCGGAGAAGAGAGGACCCGGGAAAGAGACCGGGAGATCGGGGTACACCCGATCTCGAACGGATCGCGCGACGAAACGAATACGACGATATCGCGACGAGAGGAAAGCGAGGTGAAAAGAATAGAGAGAGAGAAAGAAGGACAGGCAGAAAGGGACGCGCGTGTAAAACAGGAAGAGAAAAGGAGAGTGACGGACGCGGGGACTGAGTGGCCCTGCTCTAACACAGATCACTGACCAACTTCACTTCGAGACTGACGCGATACTGACTCGGGGGAGCGCGACACAACCGGCTTCGCGACGTTCGGCCGTTTCCGCCGCTCTTCGGGGGCGCTCGGCTTCTCGCCTCCCCACCACCTGCGCAAAGGAAATATACGCACAGGTATATTAATATTACATGTATATACAGCGCTGTGCGTACTATGTATCGCGTTGTGTGCGAATGTATACATATTGAACTAATCGTCAAGATAACGTGTATGTATAAAGGTACGCCCACGCAATTTGGATCTCCGATGATAATGAAGAATTCGTCTATACCTTACGCGACCACGTCGATACGTGGTATCGCGGAGATATTTTTTTCGTATAAAATTATATATATCATCTATATATTAGAAAAATATATATATTATTTAAACAATGTTTGTACTTAGTTTTTTTAATGAAAAATTTTAGAGTGTTATCCTTCTTGTATATATATTTTTTCAATTATATATTTCGATATGTAGTTAAGAAAAAAAATCAAAATATGACATTTTTCTTTTTAGAATAAAATATAATTTTATTTATAAAGAGAAAAAATGTTTTTCAAGAACTTTAAACGTTGTTTATTGTACTAAATTTTATACGAGTGCTTTGAATAATTTATATTTAATATAATTAACTTAAAATAATAAAATTAATAATATAATTTAATATAATTTATATATATATATATATATATATATATATATATATATATTGTACGCAACATGAAATCGGTGATTACGAAACGCTAGATTTATGAATTTGATAATGATAAATTATGAGCGGGCGCATTATATTACGAGCATTACGGAATTATACAGCATTACAAGCTGTTCCGACGTTAAGTACGATATTCAAGGATATAATAGAATGCGAAGGAACATGGAGAAACCCAAGTTAATGTTCGTAAAACTGCTATAAAATAAGGATTAAACGCGCTCAACAAAAATATGATGTATATAAAGTGTGATCTGTATCCCTTTGTATTCTTACAATTTTATATCTCTCTATTATGAAGATCTTATGTGTAGGGGATTAGCTATTATTTAATAATTTTACAAATACTTATGTTCAGATTATTTTGCAACAATCGAAGAACGTCAAAGTATCTTTGAAGGACAAACGACCTTTACTGACTTTGATAGAGTATACATACGTATACATTGCCTGGCAAAATAATTTATTCGTACAAAGGCAAGGGTATTATATTTCACAAAAGTATATTATATATTTAAAATATATTGAAACTATTGTTATGTTTACTTTTGAGATTTCATAATTTTTCGCGATGATAGCGGAACTGTTATTCCGATCGATCAACGATCAAGTCGATTCGATTTCACGAGATAGAAATCCAGAGGGGCACGTGATTACCGTTTACAGAAACATTCACACGAAACGGAATGTCCCGGCGTAGAATCAGGTCGAGCGTTTTCTACTGAGGTGATCCGCGCGATCGTGAGATAATTATGGAAATGAATTTCGATCGTTATGGAGGCGTAGAGATCTCGACTCTTCCGTGACATGACCCGGCCTCGACAACGATGATCCCGCCCAGCACCATAATTTTCCCCACAATTTTCGTGCCTGCGTGTAAACATCCAACGGTACGTTGCTACGAAGCATGGTGTAACATATACATATGATATTGCTATAATCACGGACGCAAAGTACTCTTTTACATCCGTAGTTGCGAATTCGCGCGACATCACCGAAAAGATGACCTTATAAAGGGTATCTCTGCGAATCCAAATAATATTCCATTCTTCCGTTTTATCTAAATCTTAGTCGATAAAATTTTTCTTTATATTTCCCTCTTTTTACAGTATCGCGATTAATAATAGTATAAGCTCCTATAACGATCCCAGATTCTAAGTTTGAAGAAGCTATTCTAACAGTTTCGCATGACGTACCTCATGAATGAAACGAGTTATCAGTCAAATAGTAACGTCGGTATACGAGATTCTTAACACTCGACTCTCCCTTAAATTAGTCTCGCAGCAGTGCTATTCAGAGATATGAAAGGATCGCGAGGTGACGGAAGCCAAAGAGACGTTTGTATAGGCGATGTCTCTCGCGGCGGCAACGTTTTACAGGAAGAAAAGAGGAGAAAGAATAACGCGCGCGAGGGAGGATAAAAGGATACGTGTGAGAGAAATTGGATAAGGACACGAGTGAGGGGACCGATTCTGAGAGAGCATTAATCCCTCTTGTAGAGAGCGTACACGGCTCGTATTTAACAGTGCGCGCCCGACGCGGTCACGATTCATGCATAATTTATCTGAAAGCACGGAGAAAAATAATTTTTTGACCTCTAGGGGGTTACAGGGCGGGAAAGGCGTTCGTCAGCCACGCACTAAGGCTGCCATCACTACTCAGCATAGAAAGTGGCTGCCCTCGCTTGCGTTATGCGAGGGTGTGTTAAACTGGTCCAGCAGAATTGCAGTTCGATTGGCTAAGGTTGCTGTTAAGACCCGGTTCCCGGTGTTAATGGCATTGCCGAGTTTGCTCGACGATCAAACATATAAGTAAATGCGATTCGTCAAAGTATTCTGTTAAAATATGTGACGAAAAAATTGTTGATATTTAGAGACATTATCAATCATTATAAAATTGTGATGATTATAAGAGATTTAATAGCGTTTAAGAGAAATAGATTTGTCACCATTCATGGGAAAACTCATGAGTGACGATGTTGAAAAAAATGAAATCTTCCGATGTCGAATTGATTTTCGCTGATTCAATTTTTTTATTTCATAGGAATATTACAATACGCAATTTTTCCAATTTAGTTATATGCATATACGCGCTGTTTTAAACGTTTACAAGGTGTATCGTCACGGTTTTAAGCGGTTCCGCGTAACTCGGCAGCATCCTCGATAGGATCTTCTCAAGCCGTGTTATCACCTGCCATAGGAACTTGGTACCGCTCGCTTCAATGGCTTCTTAACGCAATACAACGCTATGGAGAAACCTGTTTGTCATGTATCTCGCTCTCGAGATATATTTTACAGCATTCTGTCGCTTATGTGCAATGTCTGGTACCCAAAGGAAATCATATTTCTTGCTCTCTTTCGCTTACGTTGCGCGTCGACAATGAGACTTCCTGTCCCATCGTATAAAGTATACACAGTTTGAAACCATCGCGAAAAATCAGTCTGATGCGTAGCAACTAGCGTATCGCCGTGTATTATCTATTTTTTTAATTAGCGATATTAAAGCGTGTGATAAAACATTTCTTGAACATTCATTTATGGCCCAATTATATATATACTAGAAAAAACTTTTTCTTTCATTTCGCTCTTTATAAAAATAATTGCTATTATCTTTCGGAATTATTAATTAAAATAACTTGATTAAAAGATTAATATGTAAAAGCATGTCTAAGAATTTTCATTGAGATAAAAAATATAGAAATGTATAGTCATGGCATGAAATATATAGTCCACAATATTTTGAACTAAAATATTATTATGCTTTGCCTTAAAGTTTTCAAGTTTTGAGCACATTTCTAATCAAGAAAAAAAAAGAAAAAAGAAAGAGAGGAAAATTTATACTTCTCGCTAATAATATTATAAGCAATAATGATTAAATGGAATTAATAGAATTAATAGAATTAATAGAAACATGCGTAAGCTTTAGCTTATAATTAGTAGCGTTTCTAGCAAGCATTGACATTACCATATACTCGTTGTCACTGACATTCTCGCTGCTCGTACATAGCCGGTATCCATTCCCGCATAATTTTAACCACAAGATATACGGATATATATTACCTCGAGGTTAAAGTACCCGCATCCGAGTCATTGACAATATTACCTGGACGAAATTATGCCGGTGATTCGCCGATAATTTCGGAAAGAGAAAAAAAAAGAGATGTATGCGCGAATCTACAAACGATTCATTTTCGTATCGTTAGTCTGTGACAGTTTTGAATTTTTCGTGATTCAAATCGCATATGATGTACAATAATAATTAATGACGGATTTATATCTTATTTATTTATGTAAATTCTTGAGGCAAAATTCGCGATCATCATTCATTCATGAGATAATTCTTCATTATTATCTGTTAATTTGTGGATACATTTGAATTGATATCATCAGAGTTCCAACAATTAGCTTTAATAATAACTTAACACAGAATTAAGAAAACAAGTATTGATATAATATCGACTAGCGTATCGCAAAAAAAAAATACCGAATTATCGTCGTCCTATCGATTATTCTCTCTTTCCTCTTCCTCTTCTCTTATCTATAAGTAGATATCATGTCGTTGCTATTCCTGATGCATCTGTTGCTATTAATTACATGCTTCGACAGAAATCAAGCTCCGGAAGCGAGTGCGTTCCGTTCTCTCCGCCTTTAATATCCCTTTACAAGGGCACAATACAGTCGAGTCATTGGTTCACGGAAGAACTTTTCGTCATCGTTGTCAAGTGTGGACAATATCGTCGAAAATTAAATTTCCTGCGTGATACGGAGACGCACGATGCTTCGAAGGAAGTGAAAGAAGCGGATTCCCTCGCGAAAAGAGAGCATCTCGTACAAAACGACGTGGTGTAGCCCGCGTGTCACGTTTGCACGTATAGCTCGTAATTCCGCTTGCGGAAGACGTACCGCCTTCTCCGTGACGTAAGACCGGTTACACGGACGAGCACGAAAAAGATGAGCGATCGTGTAACGGAGCGTATGATGAGTCTGCGGACGCATTTTTCCCGCGGCGAGCCGCCGGTCTCCGGTAGCCTCGGAAACGAAATGAGAGCACGTACGTGTCGATAATAATTATTTCTTGTTACTTGACCGCGAACGGTGGGGTGCTTTACGTACGTTACGCTATATCGACGCAAAAGCGTATTTTCCTTAGAATCCATTACTCGATCTACGTAATATCCATTATTTTGGTCTTAATTGAAATTGGATGAAGTAATAAAGGCCGTTAGAGCTAGAATTACCTTGCGCAAGATCAGAGGTTTAAATTTTAAATTAATCGACCGAAAACTATCAATTTTATAAATTTAATAATTAACCTTTCAGCTTTTTAAAACAAGAGAGCATAACATTAAT